TATCCGACATGGCAACCTTGTATATGAATCCGTTTTCCTAATGTGAAATGATGAATGCCATCATGTTCACCGAGAAGTTTTCCATCTACAGTCACAATCTCACCCTCTTTAGGTTCGATATACTGTAAATAATAGAAATGCAATAAGCACAAATATAAGGAAACAACAAAGTTCAGTAAGACAGACTTGGTCTATGAAATTCTCGAAGTTTTTCCTTTTACCAACAAAGCAGATACCCATACTCTGAAAACGTCCCGTTTATTCGGTTTTTGATAAAGTTATGAAAAGTACCTCTGGTTTATCCGCAATTTCATCAAGGCCCTGTTCTCGGGCTATTTGTCGAACTTTCGTTTTTGTTAATGATCCTACAGGGAACATGGCTCGTCTGAGCTGTTCCTGACGCAATGTACACAAAAAATACGTCTGATCTTTGAGAGGGTCGATACCAGTCAATAATCGAACACCTTAAATATAATTTGTGGATAGATTAGAATTTCTTAAGCACTTGGTGTAACTGCATAGAACACACTAAATCCAGAGATTAGTGGATTAGGATTGGAAAATTTGGTGACTTATGAAGTGCTATGCGTCCATAAACAATCAATATGCCATATCAGCTCTTGGGATTTTGTGAGCTAGCGGCATCCCTTGAAGTTTTATTGGAAGGATTTTTCGACATCGAAAACTAGAGAGCAGTCTCAGTAAGTTATTACATGTTGTTTGTTTATAAAAGCATATGTGATTCCGCGGCTTACCAAATCGACGCTTACTAGATTTGTTGTATAGCGTGCGATTACACCATATGCAAGGAAAATGAGCACATGCATTGAACTGCCTATATTGCCTAGATTCGAGTTAGAGAAAATATTAAGCAAGCGTGGCATAAAAGAAATCGCGGTGATCCAGCTGGGCTTATTGAACAAGCAATTACCTGATTCTTTCCCTCCTTCCTCTTGAAAATCCCCATTAGAAGTGCTGGCATAGTGACCACTTGCAATGAAATCCGCACCAAGTTTCTCTATCGCATGATAATGTAAATGTTCAAATTTGATATGACTGTTACACGCGATATCTGGTACCACAGTTCGTCCACGACGGTAATTGTCAAGCATTTTTCTT